TTGGTCGTGTCGTCTCAACCATTATCAACATGAAGAAAATGAACCCCAAATTCATGATGATATTGGCCGTGTCGTCTCGACCATTATCAAAATGAAGAAAATGAACCCCAAATGCATGATGATATTGGTCGTGTCGTCTCAACCATTATCAACATGAAGAAAATGAACCCCAAATTCATGATGATATTGGTCGTGTCGTTTCAACCATTATCAACATGAAGAAAATGAACCCCAAATTCATGATGATATTGGTCGTGTCGTCTCAACCATTATCAACATGAAGAAAATAAACCCCAAATTCATGATGATATTGGTCGTGTCGTCTCAACCATTATCAACATGAAGAAAATGAACCCCAAATTCATGATGATATTGGTCGTGTCGTCTCGACCATTATCAATATGAAGAAAATGAACCCCAAATTCATGATGATATTGGTCGTGTCGTCTCGACCATTATCAACATGAAGAAAATGAACCCCAAATTCATGATGATATTGGTCGTGTCGTCTCGACCATTATCAACATGAAGAAAATGAACCCCAAATTCATGATGATATTGGTCGCGTCGTCTCAACCATTATCAACATGAAGAAAATGAACCCCAAATTTATGATGATATTGGTCGTGTCGTCTCGACCATTATCAACATGAAGAAAATGAACCCCAAATTCATGATGATATTGGTCGTGTCGTCTCGACCATTATCAACATGAAGAAAATGAACCCCAAATTCATGATGATATTGGTCGTGTCGTCTCGACCATTATCAACATGAAGAAAATGAACCCCAAATTCATGATGATATTGGTCGTGTCGTCTCAACCATTATCAACATGAAGAAAATGAACCCCAAATTCATGATGATATTGGTCGTGTTGTCTCGACCATTATCAACATGAAGAAAATGAACCCCAAAAGAATTTGCCATCTTAACCAGAGTAGCTTTGCAAGATGCCACATATGCATAATGTCCTAAACTGATACGTTATTCGAGTGTGATGTATACCCAAAATGTTTGTATGTGTATGCTTTTAATCGATATATTTTTTTTGGTAAACCAATTAGGTTCTCGTAGTCACTAACTCCTCGACAGTGTTGTCTGCCCTTATTGTATCTCCAAGTGGATTTGGATTTGGTGAGAGATGTTTGCGAGATCTTAATGTCTGTATCATAGACGCATGCATAGGTATGGACGTGGACGTTGGTGTTGTCGTGGACGTAGGCATGTGCGTAGAAATTGGCGTGGACATAGGTGTAGGCATGGATTTTCCTTCATTATTCTTCTAACCAGAATAAACTCTGATGATTTATCAAATGCTCTTTGGTGTTTCTGTATGTTAGATGCACCAAATGTTGCAAATGATCTTGAGATTTTGCATACATCATGCTTGATGTGAGGCTCTTAGTGGGAAATCTGCTGCCAAGATTTCCAAGGAATCTACTGCCGAGATTATGTCGAAAGATTACCTCCTGTCGAGGTTTTCTTGAAAATCACCTTCTGTGATCAACAGGGGGAATCTACTTCTGAGATTCTGTTAAAAGATTACCTCCTTCCTAGGTTTTCCAAAAAATCACCTGTCGTGATCAACAGGAGGAATCTACTGCCGAGATTCTATGTAGAATTGGTAGCTTGATTGCCGATGATGATTGACTTCACATAAAACGAGGTTTCATGCTATGCGTGCAAATTTGATTGGTGCATGGAATGTAATGATTGATTGATGTATGTAATGATTGATTGATGTATGTAATGATTGATTGACGTATGAATTGATTGATGTATGTAATGATTGATTGACGCATGAAATATGATAAATGACTTGGATATATGTAAATGGATGTTGGACTTTGAAATGCGAATGCGTAGTTAGGCTTTTTGAGATACGCTCGACCCATGCTGTTGGAATGCGTAGATGAATGAGATGATAGTATGGCTTGGTTTTGGATCTAGGAGCCCTAATGCATGATTTATGCAGCCTTATGCTTTATGATTGGATATTTTTTGAATGGTGCCCCTGTGATGGGTTGTGGATGATTAAAGCATGGAGGTTTGTTTATGCAACAAGGTTGCTTGCCACATTATGGTTGAGTGTTGTGCTTGTAGGATTCCCTGATACTTGTTTCGAACTCGAAGATTGCTGACGTAGAAGAGAGGTTCACCAGAGGTTTGTGAAAGTATGAAGAGAGTTTGCTTTTGTATGGACTGTTTTTCCTAATTTGTTGGTAGGGTCCTAAAGGAGATTATCTTTAATATGAGCTTGGAAAAAGTTTGATCATAATGTGAATGACCCCAATATTTTGCATTATGCCCCTGATTAAAAGACTCCTGAAAAATGCTTGGTTTTGATGGACCCTTTTGTATCACCTTCTTTTTTGATCGAGCCTCGCAGTGCTTTGCCCCAACATTCGAATTTTGAAAGACATGCCCCTCAATCTCCAAGATCCGGAGGAAGTATCCTTAGAAAGAACTCAGACTTTACCATGAACTTGATATAGATTTTCCCAATTATTCAAAGCTTGAAAAGTTTATACTTGAAGTTGCTTGAAGAATTTGGACCCTACGTGCAGTAGGATGAACTTGGTACGCACTGCCCCAACATTTGAATCTCGGAAAGTTGCCCTTGCTTCCAAGCCTTGAGAGGTTTATTAAAACGAGGAAACCGAGTCATATCCTGTCGTGGCATGAATGCTTCTTTGAAAGATATGCACCTTGTTGAACAGTGCTTTAAAATTTGATCCAAGTTGATTGAACCTCTGAATGGTCGCCCCTTGTCAATATTATCTTCATGTGATATACCCCTATGATTATTAGTCTATGCCCTTGATCCCAGCTGTTGCAACTGGTTTTTAAATTAGAGTCGCCACCCTTAATTTTTATCCTAAAGAAAGGGAGTATAAAGGAATAACCCTAAAGTTCAGAGATTCTAGATTTGGACTCGGCTCTAGACGAGGGGAAGGTGTTAGGCACCCCTTATCTACCTTGTTCGCAAGGATACTAGGTTTAGAAGTGCGATGTTTAGGAAATAGGGTTTTAATTATTAATTAAGGAAAAGGGTTTGAATTTTAGTTAGCGGGACTCGCAACGATTTTTGATCGTATGCCTACGTATCCTCCTTAGGAGGAATCAGAGTCTCATTTTCGTAATTCGCAGTTGGTTAGTTTTTTTATGGGATTGCGTAGAATTGCTTTTGAATTTATCTTTGAACCTTGTCTGGGTTGAAAATTGTGTGAGCGTAGACGCAGTTTACAATTTGATTTGAAGACAATGCTATTTAATGCCTTTTTGAAAATGATCTTGAAGTTTTAATTAAGTTAGTAAAAAAAGTTTGTAGTTGGTTAGCTATATTAAGACGTAGAGCTGTCATACCCCAAATTTGCCCTACCCTTATTTGTGCTTAGGTTTCCTTTAATTGAATCGTATCATTTATTTTTTTACTTTTATAGAGGTATTTAAAACCAGATCGGGGTATAACAATCCAAAATGGACCATCAATATATGATGGCTCATTAAACTCTAATAAGAGCCCATTTCTAATGAGAGGGGGGTGTATTCTTTCAGAAGGTGAACAGGTTTTTTAAGCCCATTTAGACTTTTGATGAAAGAAACAATCTTTTTATTTTTATATTAGACCCATTTCCTTATGAAGAAAAAAAGAATTGTTTTTTTTATATATTACTGATTTATCAAAATGTTTGTCTTAAAATAACAGACCCAAAATAGGTGGTCCATTTCATATTTTTTGAAAAGAAATTTATTTTTATCATTATTGACATTACTATTGTTATGTTTAATTATTATAAATATTATATGATTATTATTAATATTATCATATTATTATTAATATTATTATTCTGAAATCATATTTTTCAAAGAAAAAACGCAGCGACCCAATGATTGAAAACACTTTTTACTGTCCGAATCATCTAAGTGCACTAACCAGGGCTGGACAACGGTCGGATTGGATTGGATTCGGGTCCAAAAATCCAATCCGATCTAAACTGCGGGTCTATAATGAACATCCAATTTCGACCATTTAAATTTTCGGTTTCGTCGGTTTACGGTTTGTCGGATTGAACGGTTGTCGGTTCGGTTTAATCGGTAATCCATTTAAAAAGCTGCGATTAAAAATTAAAAACTAAATGTTCTTTAAAACATAAGCTACCAATGTTTTATTAGACTTTTTAAAGATAGATCCGGAAAACATTTGGGAATTATTGCAAAATTATTTTCACTGCTACAAAATTGCAAGGAGATTTGGAAAAAAATCTGGAAATTTTTACATTATCTGCTTTGCAAAGATTTGAGAAATATTTTGTCAAATAAATTGGGTAAACAACAAATCAAACACAGTAAGTTTGAGGTGGGGTAAAGAAGAGAATATGTAAGCTAAATATACTGTTAAGATATAGTACATGAAGGGTATGTTTAATGGGCTTTACAAAAAGTTCAAACCAATCCATATATTATAGCGGTCGGATTCGGTTAATTTTGGGTTTGATTGTCTCAACCGGATCGAACCGATATAAACCATTAGAAACCGGTTTAAATCAACATGTTAATCCGACACCCATTTTAAAACCGACCGCATGTAAACGGTTATGGTGGGTCGGTTGGATATTCACGGTTTTATCAAAAGCTGTCCACCCCTAGCACTAACCGTTACTGTATGGATTAAAATGGGTTCCTTCTTTTTACAGTACAAAGATTAAAATGAAAACCCTCTTTTTTTCTTGTCAATCAATAACGTCATCATTGTTTTATTTCCTTTCCAGAATTCACGCAAATACAGAAATTATTAAAAAAAATATTATTACAACAAACAAAGATCAGTCAATGCAGATTCGTTTACATCCTCAAAATTATAGACCAAAATTCAAAATAATTTCCTATTTCGAAAAACTAATCAATTTTGAAAGTTAAGTTTACAAACACATTAAAATATTTCCTAATTTTACTAATTCCTAAAACAACTATAAAACCCAAACTAATATTACAGAATGGATAGGACAGTAGACAGAAAAGGGAGTAAAAACAAAATTACAGTAGAGATACCAAGCTTCCTTTTCGGTTGCGGTAGAAAAGAGTCCTCACGGTTCTTGATCTGTTTCCGCTTCACTCCGCAACAACAACCACTCAACCATCGACTTCCTTCTGCGCCGCACGAAACCACCAGTGTCGCTTTCGCCGTTCAACCAACATCCACCGCGAGCCTCTTCGATCTTCAGCCACATGAGCTTCTTCTTTCTCTTTTAATTCTTTCATCTCATGTTCATGGATAAGTTGCGTGTTTAGCTTTGTTGTATGCACTATTTATTTTGATTGTGGAAAAGATAAAGATGAAAGATTGAAATGTTAAAAGAGAAATGGGTTTTGCTGTTTTGTCCCTTCTGTTGTTTCTCTGTTATAAAGGAAGAGGAATGGTGGGTTCATTTTTCTAATTCATTGTCGTGGGTTCACTGGTTAAGTTTAGGGTGTGGAAAAGTCAAAGTAGATTTTGAATTGCACATAAAAATGTGAATGAAGGAATGCTATTACATGATTGATTTTGGTTTTATATTTTTAAGTTAGCATTATATTTTATTTCTTATTTTTGCAATTGAGATGTCCCCTAATTAGTGTGCTAACCAACCCTTCCATGTGCACCGATTTCTTTATTTTAATTTCCTATTATTTATTTATTATCATCATTATTACATCTATTATTAATAATAAGTTATCATAAATAATTAATTGTCTCTTAGATTTCTAAATTTGAAATGTATTATAGTCATTTAATCTAATATTTTTTTTCTCATGTAACGTGAGATTTGTAGTTATGGGTTTAAATATTTTTCTCTTCTTTTTATTTTTACTTTTTTTTATAATAATATTTAATTAAATTTTAAATTCATTTGGTTTTCTTAAGAATAATAATACAAAAAATCAAATTTCTTAATCATTTAATTCAAGCATTCTATAAATAATAGGATGTCCATCTTAAATAATTAAATCGGTTGACATATCGTCCACCGGTTTATTATTCAAAATCAAACAATTAAATTAACTTAATATCTTACAAAAATATTAAAAAACACACAATTCACTAATGGGCAACACGTGGACAATATCTGACCACGTGAGGAGAAGACTATATCGAACTCTCCTGCTCCACGTCTCAATTAAATCAAATACCAAAACAACTAACCAATTACAAACTGTTTTTTCTACTAACATAATAAAAAACAAGATGTCTTCGAAAAATGATTACATAGCATTACTTTCGAATCAAACTGTGGACCACGTCTATGATCGCTCAATTTATAACTCAGACAAAGTTCAAGGTTAATTCAAAAGCAATTTTATGCAATCTTATAAAAAACACCAACAAACACCGCGAACTACGAAAATGAGACTCTGATTCCTCCTAAGGAGGATACGTAGGCATACGATCAAAACGTTGCAAGTCTCGCTAACTAAAATTCAAACCCTTTTCCTTAATTAATAATTAAAACCCTATTTCCTAAACATCGCACTTCTAAACCTAGTATCCTTGCGAACAAGGTAAATAAGAGGTGTCTAACACCTTCCCCTCGTCTAGTACCGAGTCCAAATCTAGAATCTCTGAACTTTAGGGTTATTCCTTTATACTCCCTTCCATTAGGATAAAAATTAAGGGTGACGACTCTAATTTAAAAACCTGTTGCAATAGTATTACCCGTGCGTTCACACAAATTGTGACCTAGTTACCCGTGCGTTCACACGATACTGATATTACCCGTGCGTTCACACAATACTGGTGTTACCCGTACATTTACACTTATTTTGGTCTGATTACATATGCGCTTACACGGTACTTGTGTGTTATCCGTGCGTTTGTACATTACTGATGTGGTACAAACACTTTTCTGATTCAAAACATAATAAAATAATAAGAATAATGAAATGAAAAAAAGACAAATTTGTCTAATTAAAACAATTTATTATTTTTAAAATAGGATAATATATTGGTTTCAATATTTACTTTTTTAAGTTGTTGATTTAAGTCACAATATTCATCTTTAGTCAATTATACATGTGAGCTCTCGTATCTTAATCTTCCACTAGGATGAAAGTTATTTTAGACTTATATATCTTGATTGATAAATTGACGTGATCTCACTTAATAAATGTCCAATATATGGTACATTCTCTTAACCTCTTTAAAATTTGATTTAAAAAACAAAATATATCATCATCGTAAAATAATAAGTAGATAATTTTAAGAGTTGTAGCAGCCAAAAAATACTATATACTATTTTGTGCTTTGAGAATTAACTCTGAAAAAATCTTAGTTTAAGAATAAATATATATACTTATTAACGATACGATATAATTGTGGCTTACTTTCTATCATTATAAATTCGAAATTGCTTCCTTCTATTTGCCTTATAACAAATTAAATTTTGTTCTATATAACATCTCTATTTAATATTTGTTTATAACTAAAAAATATTCATGACATGAGTGATAAATAAATTTTATTAATATAATAAATGAATTGTGCTAATTTATAAATGTAACTCATATATTCTCAACTTTATTATAAGAATAAATCTATATTTTAAATATATTGAATATGAATTCTAAATACACTCACTATTTAATATATGTAGTAAAATAAAACATAAATGAGACAAACCTTTAAAACTTGTTCTCAGTGCACGTCTTCTAAATCCAATAATAAATAAAATATGTCCACATTGCACCACTTAATAAGATCGTCTATGTTAGAAAAAGCTAATTTCCATGTCTGGACCAATGAAAACAAAAAGCCAGAAGCAACTTTGCCACGTATACTTCATCACGGACGCATTCAACGAATTCCACGAGGCCGAACTTGCGCATATTAAAATCTCCCTTTCATCATTCATCACTCAGCGGAAGTATGAGTCACTGAGACACTCTCACAAACACGTAGCGAGCTCAACAAAACTTCACAACTCAAAAATCACCAATCTCATTCTCCAATGGATCCCTCATCTTCGACCTCACTCCCACAGTCTCTCCATCTCGCCATGGCCGCGTTACTCGGAGCCTCTTTCATGGCCATTTCCGCATTTTACATCCACCGCCGTACCGTCGACCATATCCTCCACCGCATCCTCGAAATCCGCCGCGCACCGCTTGGTTCCATCACCGATGAAGCTTCCTCTGGCGAGGAACAGGAAGAGAACTACGACGATGAACCGAGCGAGTTCGACGGGGAGGAAATGGAACCGGTTACCGATTCGAGAAACTATCACGGAGCGTTGTCGAGGTCCGTGGATGAGAGTAGTATGAACTTGCTTCGAAACTATAGAGTTTCGTCTTCCATGCCGGACGTTGTTTCTGCAACCGAATGGTTCCGTGATCATCCGATGAACCGTTCGTCCTCTCATGAGAATCTTAATTCTGTTCCGATTGGGCTTCCGTCTTTGAGAATGAGCTCGAAGCATGGTGAGAATTTGAAAAACCTAAGTGTTTTTATTTTTTATTTTTTGCGTCTTGGATTGAACTGTGATTTATGTGTTTTGGTTTTGGTTGCAGATGGTGCTCAGATTTCGAGTTCTTATAAGAGGATAGGTTCTGTTGGTAGAATTAAGACTCCGATATCACCGGGACGTAATGCCTTTGAAAGTGCTGAGGATTCTGATGATGATGATGATGATGGAACACAGCTTGGTGATGATAGTCAGATTCCCTTCTACCCTGTGACTATAGATTCTTCAAATTCTTATGTGAGGATTATGATTTATTGTTTGTTGGGATACTTATGATGTTTAAAGCTTTGTCAGCTAACTATAGTTTGTTGTTGATCATTTTTGGGAATGGATCCTCTCGTGTGATTTTCATATGAGAGAATAAAGTGTAATCTCCCACCATTCAAACTCTATCCGTTTGAACATGTCATGTTTCTCTCTCCTTTTGAATGAATGACACATGAGCGGGGATCCTACACATGTGTTTTCGTGTGTTTTCAGTAAGTTTAGTTAGGCCTGATTGTTTTGCTACAATGATATGTTTGGTGCAGAAGAAGCTTTTTTGATTTGGTAATTTAGAGACAGTATTTGTGTTGTTTGGTGCATGATAACCAATCTTTTTCCTGCTCAGTTCTTATCCTTGATATGTTCTTAGTCGCTTCACAATTCAAAGGCTATATTCTTGAGAGGAAGTTTTTTTGATTTGGTAATTTAGAGATAGTATTGGTGTTGTTTGGTGCATAACCAATCTTTTTGTTTCGCAGCTCTTATCCTTGCTTTGTGGTGGTGTTTCATAATTCATTATACAGTTGTTTCTATATTTGCCTTTAAAGTGGATCATGATGTTGTTGTATTGCAGGGACTTAATCCAACCGTTCCTTTCAGAGCTGATGATGTAAATTGTGCAAAAAATCAGAAGTTTGGAGAAGTTTCGAAAGAAGCAGGAGCTGGTGCAGATATGAATGGTGGAATAACAGATTCAACTACAGTACATGCAGCTGGGAATGACCTTGTGTTTGTCAATAATGTCTTGTCTGCAAGAAGCGCAGCACTTGGTACTTTCAAATCATATCATTATCTGTATTCTTCTTCTTTTTTGTTTCTAAATACTTGTGTGTTAAATACTTTCAGATTTATTCCTGCATGTATCCTCCTTTTCCTATCCTCCATTTGCTATCGTATTTTGACTCTGTTTGATCCCAGTTTTAATGCTAACCTCCATTTGCTATCGTATTTTGACTCTGTTTGATCCCAGTTTTAATGCTAACCTCCATTTGCTATCGTATTTTGACTCTGTTTGATCCCAGTTTTAATGCTAATGATAGAAAACACTATGATTATGTTTTTCTACCGTTCTTTTGCTTTTATAATATATATTGAAAAAAAAAATGAAAGAACCAGTATTAAATGCATCATTGTCTTCTTCAGAGCCATTGAATATTGAAGAGGAGGAAGTTTGCAAGATGATGCGAGAATGCTTAGATTTGCGTAAGAAATATGTTTACAAGGAAAATGTTCCGTGGAAGGCTGAACCTGTCGAAACTAACTCTGATCCATTTCACTTTGAACCAGTTGAAGCATCAGGAGTAAGTTTGTTGCCTGTCCATCATTTGATCTGTCACTCAGATGTTTTATGATGCACGCGGGATCTTCGTCAGTTATTAACATACATTTTTGTTTCGAAGTGTTTGTCTGATAATGTTATGATTTACTGATTTCTTGGTATTGCAAACAGCACCACTTTAGGATGGAAGATGGAGTTGTACGTGTTTTTGCAAGTCGAACTGGTGAGCAGTGTTAAC